CAAAAGAGCGGTTCGCAAGTCTCGAGCGTCTCCGATTGACAACGCCAACGAACGTTCCGTACGCGGATCGACAATGCAGCAGAAATCGAAGAAATCCACCTGCGTCCTACACAAACGTCCCTGCTCTTACCCTTCCACCAGCTGCTTTCACGAGGACAGTTCGACTGTCGTTTCCGACCATGTGTTCCACAGCAGGGCGAGAGCAGGGACGGTGACTTGTGCGTGAGTTAGTTTATAGTGGTAGCAGACTTGCACAGCATCTATCGCATTCTCGCTCTCTTCCCCACTCCCCACCTGGGCCCGGTGTCAAGACGGAGTCTAGAAGAGAGGAGGTTGAGGAGGGCGCAGGTGGCTGGCGCGGCCGGACCCGCACCTAGGCGTGCCGCCACACCCCCTGGTCCACAACATACACTTGACCAGGATTTTCCACCAGCAACAACGCCTCGATAGGGATCAGACTGGGCGTTCACGGCACACCGACGATCGCACTCCTTATGCCCCCACACCTTAGCCGAGGTCAACCCCACCATCTCTACCAACCCTGCCACTACCCCCTCGATGACGATTACCACCCTCCACCACCGGTCAGAACACTCCCAACGCTCCATCGACCACTACCCTCACCACCAGCAATGCGGATTCGGTCCTAGCCCGTTCCCATTGTGACCACACATTCACCTCACCCATCGGCCTGGCCGTCCACTCGCGAATTCGTCGTACTGCGACCGGCTGCGACCCAATGTCAGGAGCACCCCGCATCCGCCTCCATGTGCCACATGCCGCAATATCGACTCGCCAAGCATACCTTGCATGCCCAACGACTCTCCCATCCCAAGTCCTACAGACTACCCATCCGAAACCGTGGCAGCCACTAGCAGCAACACCACCGCCACCGACTCAACAGCTCTCAACTTATCCTGTCCACATTTCCATCGCACATGCACATCACGCAACGGTCTGGTCGGTCACCTGCGGACCCATCGCACAGACTCTGGCGAATTTATGCCGAGAACACCAACGTACGCCAGCCCCAACTGCCCACTGAATGAGGGTGCTCGGGCATATGTGATCCCATGAAAATCTGCGGTAAAACACTGCAGTTCAAACCTCATAATCTCCCCATCAGTCCATACATCACACACGAACCCGCCGACATTATCCGCCACAAACATATGTCAGCTGACGATATGCCTCAGACCTCGCAGTGTGCGTGTGTGGAGTGGCTGACTGGTGGACTAAAAGCCAGGCTACAATAAATCCTCTTCAAATGACGTCTACGGCACCCTCGCGCGTGCGGGGTCAGGATCGTGCGTGGCACGCGTAGAGGAATAGCGTGGATCTTTCAGTCACTACAACCAACCGCAGCGTCAGGTGACTAATCGGCTAGGACAGTGGGCGGAAGAGGGAGGTCGACTTTATCAGAGCATATACCTCACAGTGAACAATTCAGCGCGCCCGCATTTATCGCAGCTCGGCTGTCAGCTGACCGGAATAACTCGATCCTCTCATGCACGGGGACCAGGTTGCAACAAACTCTGTGTCCCAACTTCCGACTTGTTGGTACGCAGGCGTCATCCCATCCGAAACCGGTATTAGTTGAGACAGTAGTTTGGCCTTCTTTTCTGTTTTAACTTACAAGTCTCCTGCGGCACCGACTACATCGAACCAACAGCAACCACCTGTGGAAGCCAAGGAGATCACGAGAAAACATCGCTCCAGGCGTTTATAATTCCGAAGCTTCGGAACTTCTATACCGACTGGGGCTTACAGTTCAGTCTGACGCAGACTTGCAGGTAAGATTTCTGAGTGGCGCGATGCCCGGAAGGGCCATGCAGGTTGTTAACTCGGTCTCCCGGCTGCGTGTGAGGTGCACAGCGCCGGCATGACTACCTACATTCGTCTTGCCCTCCCTTGTTGTAGATCTCACAGCCTGCCAAGTGCAAGGGTCTCGTGCGTCGATCGTGATTATTTTGCGGCTCTCACCTTATGCCAGTTCCCTCCTGGGAAAAAAGGACTATTTCGATCGAAAGTTACGCTTAGAGAAGATAAAATAAGTTTACCTAATGGGGCAACAAGCCTCTTACTTGAACCTGGTGTCCCTAGGTGTTCCACATTCGCGTGAGAGGTAAAGGTTTGGTATAAAGGCCAACGTTAAACAACTGATAACGACGGCCCACGACCCCACTCAGCCCTGCATTGCTCCTGAGGACAAATACGCCTCCTCCTCCGTGCAGCTGGCTGTCCTAAGCACAGTTTGCGGAAGATATAATTGGATAAGCCATCTGTGTTTTAAAAAACGATTGGCCAGTGCTGGGCGATGTAGCGAATCATCCTAGGCTGGTGCCATTCATGGTTAAGTTACTACTAAAAGCATACCTTCGCCCGGATAGACGCGGATGGCGGTTGTTTCCGACATCAGGTGGTGCCTCTACTGTCACAGAGACTCACTCGGCTATTCCTCCACTGGTGTTTCAAAAGCGGGACAGTGCGTATGGAGGACGAGCGAGAGCTTGAGACTTCTGACGATAGTTGATCGCCGTGGATTTTGCGGACGGAGCACCCTGGCCTCGACTTGATCGGGACAGTCCACGCCCATCCAAGCATCACGAGGACCTCTCAGAGCACCCAAGAAAGGCGGCCGAAGTGACTTCGTCACGAATCCCAGTAGTTTAGTGTTGCTGCCACTGTCTGCTTGTAGGCGATGAGATCGGTCCGAAACCTAGCTCAACACACTCCATCAAGACGTGGTGGTTCCTGGTCCTTTGGTTTTCATCGTTAAAGAAGGCTGTCGAACTCTCCAGATCCACTATCACTGAACGTCGTGCGTGCAGACAATGAGATCACAATATATTAGGACTGGCGACATAATCACGTAGCAGTAAGGCGCCAATTTCTGTGTATACGCACGAGCGTCACCCTGTGTACGTACATTTCTTTCAGATCGCCAAGGTGTCTATTCGTGGACTGAGACACGGAGACACACGAGTGCTTCGAACTTCTCCCACCAGCCGCTACGTCAAAATTCCCCATCCGACAGTCTGACTGGAATATGCCACTGAAGAACGATTTGAGAGAGTAAGCTCGATTCTGCCGCATGGCCTAATCTCACCGCAAGGACTTGGACGCGTAAACATTCGTGACTTGGAGGTTGCCGATGGACAGTATGACTGGCTCACAGCATGCTGGCTGAAATCATGAATACCCTATTTAAATTAATAATCGCTAGCCACCACACGACCCCCAGCTTGGACTACGCCCATAGTTTAAAGACAAAACGAAAATGACCATTCACCACCCTCCTAGGACTAAATACTCCCAATCTCAGACGGCATCACACGAGTCCACCAGTGCAGTGGCGAGTGTTGCCAAATAATCAACCGGCTTGGATTCGAACCTTGGGTGTGAAGCCTGAGCATTGGGGTGTCACTGACTGTGCAAGGAACGGCCGCACCGGTGCCCTCGTCTTTGCTAGGAAACTTCTCGACTCCAAATATTTGTCTGGTTTTTCTATATTCTCAACCTCAAAGGTACTACTCGTCTCCGCTTTGTCGTTTCGGCACATCGCATTCGACGGCCTATACCGGGAAAGACGGCAGTTTCACGCGCACAACGCCAAGCGTCGAACTCCAAATTCGGACGCGTCTGCACTTGCCGACATAGAGAGTACACTGCCCTTTTTGATTCCTTCATACCGATATCTAGGGGCCCGCAAGATCTCCATCCTGAGGGGCGACTACGGCTATACAGAGAGGCTGCGGTACCGCGACAGCTGTTCCAAGAGTCGTTGGGCCCGCAGAGAGCTGGCGCAACATCTGGCTTCGTCAGTTACTTTTTCGCTGGCAGACTGCATTGGTGAGCTTTTTGCGGACGGCTCGAATCCTTTTAATGGCCTTCTCCCGCCGCCGCAATAAACTGCATCATCGTTAGATATTCTTTTTACCCGACAGGCACGTCTTCTGCATCCCGTCTCGCCCACTGGGACTACAAGACAACGGTGTCAGGGACTAACGGGATGGCGGGACATGCTCGTCAAGTCTTAATACCGCCAATTTAAAAAGTAATTCCCCACAACTTGACACGTGACCGCTTATATTCTAGACTAGTCCTTAATTTACAGCCTACCTTCACTGAAGTTTGTCCCACTATCTGCTGCCTGTTTAGTGGGCCGAGTACCCAACAGTGATCTCCCAGATAGACAGGCCAGGCTCAGGCATAGGTTGACCGTTGGTAATAAACGGCCCTGACATTCTACAACAAGGACTCCTGCTATGCGGTAAGCAAACGACTTCCTTTCTGGTTGACAGTCCGGAAAGCTTCTCATAGTACCAAAAGGGGGAAAGGATTCGACAGCTACAAAACCTCGTTCACAAAGCTTACTGTCCCGCCTCCAGACGACCGAAAACACCGGCATTTCCGGGAAGGTGAAGGATAGAGCTTTTCCTACCTAAAGGTCAATGGCCGACTGCGGCCTAGCAGTTAGTTGCCTGTTCGTGAACTTTGTCGACAATCGGTGTGTGCACAATCCTGATTAAAGTGCCACATGCTTCCCTGGCTATGCACATTGACACACCTCATCAGAAACTTCGAGACGAATGGTACTTACAAACTACGTCATGACAGGCCTGATTCTTGATAACGTCAGAAAAGATTTACTTTCTACCACAAGCACGGTTGCTAAGGCGTACAAGATCATAGATAAGCACGAGGCAGAAAGCATAACGAGAGTGTACTCACTGAACGCCAGAAATTATCGGCAAAAGTATCGTCTAGGCTAGAGTTCCATATACCACTCGTAAATCCCAAACCTGAATTATGAGATGGTGACCCGATAAGACGCATTCCGTGGCACAGATCCAAAGAAAATGTCAAAGTATGGCATTTTGGAGCACGAAATTGCAAGCACTAGAGATAGGAAAACATGAAACCGTAATTGAAGACAGTGCAACTGAGTCTGCTACTGCTTTATGTTCCTGAGAAGAAGCGAAGCAGCAAAGAGGCTGCTAGTCCAACTTGTAGGGGAAAGTCCCCTCCTCCACTTCATCGGACCATTTCTCCACCTAGTGCGAACGTAAAATTAAAGAAGAAAATACCATAAACACGGGACACAGTTCCTTGTAGGCGAACTTGAAATAATTGCATGGTTTGTAATCTTCGCCGTACATATTGTTGCACCTGTGAAAATCGATGAAATTTTGCAGACAATTTCTGAAGCTAAATCAAAAGCACAAAACAATCTACTTAGTCTGGTTAACATTTGGAAAGCGGGGATCGTGTGGAACCGTTCCAAGGTAACTGTAGTCACCCGTTTCTTTTGCCTTTATGGATTTCTCACGGAAGTCGTCTAGGTCAACCATGTTGGAGTGCAAAATACCACCGGCAGACGCAATCAACCTAAAAACCTAAACAACCGGAATCCTATAGGGTCCGTTAGCGGATGACAGATTTACTCAGGTAGAATGGAATTAGCGACAAAGATAGGGGATACAGGAATGGCCATTTCTGGCTTATTAGCTGACGCCAGCCAGTCATACCCAACTCTGAAGTGTGGAACACCCGAGGCTCGAACTCTCAACTTGTTAGTTAGAGGTCCACGCCTCCAACCACTGGGCCACGAGCCCGTTGTCCTGTCGGTTGCGATAGGGAATACACAATGGTAGAGGGACGCTAACCGGTCGTTTCTACGGCCATTTTAATCTCCCTTGTCTTTGTCGGTAATACCATTCTGCCTTTATCATGCGCCGATGTGCGACTGCTGGTTGGACTCGAGAGAGAGAGATCCCTGAAGCACAACAGGACGAGTGAGTTTCGTAGAAACGATCGGTGAGCGCCCCTCTACCATTTACTCAGGTATATAACATTACCAAACGTGTTTATTTATTACTACATATAATCTACCGGATCATGATACTTAAACCCATTTTCGAGGGATTCAAAACAACTCCAGAAAATAACAGATGGGATAGGCAGCCAAAAGGCTTCAATCCAGCATAAACTTTTGGAAAAAAAATTGACAAAACAAAGATAAAAGAAAGCTAAAACCGCTAAACTTCGGATGAACACGACTGAAAATAGCACAAGCAACAGAATAGGACAAAGTGACCTAAGTGCACATAAGGCACAAAAAGCCGTGTTAAGAGCAAACAGGTAGTCCGCGACAAATGTGGGCAGAATACCAATTTATACGAAGAACTGCCAGCGCGCATGCTACAGTAGTGACGTTGGTCGCCTTTATGCTGGGCAGACATAGGTCGGGTTTAACATAAGTCTATGCTAACTTCGCTTCTCATAGATACTCAGTGCGCTTCTAAATTTATCTGTATTAGCAAATCATGCCTCCACAATGGACTGCACTAGAGGAGTGCTTGACTTTGTAGGTTTCTGTACCCTTTGTTTTTCTGTTTTCACTGTTCGTTGGGCAAAACGACGTATACTTACTCGCGTCTGCATTAAAAGTATGTAACAGAGAGCCTAGTTCTGCTTCAATGAGTGTTCTGATTTCGCTACCACTGTGCATTGGCAGTCGTTCACCTAACCATTTTACACGAGCCTCAAATCTGACCGCATTTGCGTTTTCGGTCTCATCACTTCGGCTGTGTTCGTCCGTGCAACTAATCATCGAGTGGGATCCGCCTGGGATTTTTTGGAGATATCTAAAGACTTAGAGATTTCTGACGAGAACTGACGCTAAAGAGAACATCGCATTTGTATGTTAGGAAATAAAGTTTCTTTACGGCCTTTTCATTCCTTTTGACCGTTTATCCATCGTAGGTTAGACGTAACACTTTCGACTTACAGATAAGCAATCCTTCTCAGGATTTCCAGCATTCTGGCTTATTTTTTTACCAAAATATTCCTAAATGGGCCCCTCTGCATGTGGCCTCTGGGGGCATTATCACTCATTCGGTTCTCAGCCAAACACTTATTTTTTCTCTGAAACCCAGTCCACTGTGGGAGGACCAGGCCTGTATAGCTCAGTTGATGGGCTGTTTCGCTATGTCAACCATTGCTCCCAACCACGCCTTTGGTCTTCCTAACCCTGTCCTGACAACGGACGCAGGTGGGCGAGGGAGGGTACAGTACGGTAGACCCGGCGTAGATCTACTATTCCTCTAAATTAATTTATGTTCAAGTTATCACCATGCGCACACAACGTTGTGAGACTGGCAGTGGACATTGCCATTCATTACGATCCTATGACATATATGCCCCCAAACGGGCCACGCGTTAGATGCGCTGGACCAACACGGGAGTTGTATCGAATTTCCGCTGGCGTTATCGGATTTGCACACGATAAAAAATGAAGACATTTTCGGGGTGCAGTTACAAAGCCGTTTGCTGGCAGACATCGCGTACATTAGGACCCATGCTGACCCCATTGTTTTTGTTTGTTAAAATCCCGGTCATTTGCCGTGTAGACCAGGGGGTGTGGAGTGGAACGCTAAGGTGCAGGCTCGACCGTGACATGCACCTGCGTCCTCCCCCGTCTCCAGTCTTCTTGACTCTGTCTTGATAGGGGACCCAGGTGAGGGAGGACGAGAGATTGCGGTAGATGCTGCGCAAGTCTACGTTCACTATAAACTAAATCACGCGCAAGTCATCATGCCTGCTTAAATCTGCTGTTGAGCACACGGTGGATATCGTCGGAAACGACGGTCAAATTGTCATGATATATGGGGACACAAGACTGGCTGACGGGTCGCCTTGAAATCTTACTTGTCCACTCGAATTTTTCACTCTGAGTGTGATTTCAGATCTCTCTCGTGAGACATGTCACCTGTCCTTTCTCAATCTACCTTCATCTCATCGTTATGACCATTTATCCGTTGTCTTCATTTATTCTGACAGCAAGCAGCTTTAGGCCTATTAGCTTAACTTGCCTCCCATTAAAAACTATGGAAGCTATAGTAAAAAGCGCTATACTGCAATTTTGTGAAGAAAATAACATCCTGCAGGATTTTCAACATGGCTTCCGGAGAGGACGTTCCTGCCTCTAAAATCTGCTAGCTTGTCTGGAGATCTGGACCAGGGCTCTAGAAGAGGGTTTTGAGGTCGATGTCGTATACATCGATTTCCGCAAAGCTTTTAACACTGTCCCGCACCAACGTCTTCTTCACAAATTGAACGCCATCGGCATCCGGGGAGATCTTCTGAACTGGATAAGGGCGTTTCTGGCTGGTCGGAAACAACGTGTCTGTGTCGGAGATCATATGTCAGAATGGGTGGGCGTGGCTAGTGGTGTGCCTCAAGGCTCAGTTCTGGGACCATTGCTCTTCATCCTTTACGTTAACGACAGCCTTCAGGAACTCAAATGCGGCAAAATAATGTTTGCAGACGACGTTAAGCTCTGGCAGGTCATTGAGGGTCCGAATGATCAGAGATCCCTTCAAGATAATCTGCACCGACTGCAAGCGTGGTCGAAGAAATGGCTTTTAGATTTCAATGTGGAGAAGTGTGCCATCCTTCATCTGCGTCCAACCAACTCTCATCCAAATGAGAGCCTGAGGACGTATCACCTGAAAGATATAAGGCTGCCCGCAGAATCTTCACAGAAGAATCTCGGGGTTTGGATTCAGAACAAACTAAAACCAACACTGCAATGCCACAAGGCTGCAAAAAACGCCATGGGAGTGCTGCATGCAATAAAAAGGGCTTTCGTAACCTTTGACCAAGACCTTTTTGGGAGAGTTTATGGCACATTTGTTCGGCCCCACTTAGAATATGGCATACAAGCATGGCGGCCATGGCTGGTAAAGGACCAAGAATGCCTCGAACGGGTACAACGGCGTGCAACAAAGCTGGTAAACGGTCTAAAATGCCAATCATACAGAGAAAGACTGAATTTCCTTACTTCATTCCCTCTGTGTTACAGGCAGCAAAGAGGTGATCTTATCCTCGTCTACAAGATAATACATGGCCTTGAGAATGGACTGGACTTATAGGGCATGTTTCAGTGGCACCTTTCACCCAATCTTCGTGGTCATTCGATGAAGTTACGGACAACAATGTCCAGGCTGAATCTTCTTTCTGAATTTTTCACGCAGAGGGTAGTGGAGAAATGGAACGATCTCCCCCAGACAGTCGTAGAGGCTACGTCTCTGCAACTCTTCAAGAAACGCTTGGATAATTATTTGTGTCCCCTGTTTTCCCTCGACAGTCTGAATCTGAATTAATACCACTGGTCCAGACAAATATTTTCTCTGAGGCAATGCTACTCAAATGAACCAAGTACTGTTTTAATAGTGAACATTTTTTGCTCGTGTACAGTTATTTCTAACGAGCTGACATGTAATCAATAGGGTTTTCAAAGGCTTTTTCCTATTAGCCTTACCAACTAGACTGAAACAGAAACTGAAAAAGTGAAGCCTTTGATAAAGTGCCACATAAAAGACTCTTAGTTAAATTAGAAGATCTGGGAATTCGCAGTACCCTTGTGAACTTTATCAATTCATACCTGCTAATCGCCAACAAAAGGTTTTAGCGGGATTATCACTTTCAACTGAAAGTCCTATTGTAAGTGGTGTCCTACAAGGTACCGTCTTAGGTCCTCTTTTGTTTTTGCTTTATCTAAATGATATTTCGGCAGCAGTTAAACATTCTCAATCATTTATTTATGCCGATGATCTCAAATGTGTATATTCTTTCAAAAAATCTACGAGCCTTCATTGCCTGGAGCAAATCCATGCTGACTTGCTTGCTCTCTCAGCTTGGAGCTCAAAATGGCTAATGAAATTCTCGCCGTCTACATGTCGCTATATGTGTTTTGGACCTCATAGTCTACCCCAACCAGTGGTCTTTCAAGGCACAGCTATGACTGAATGTACCACCACCAATGATTTAGGTTTAAGCTACACCAACAATCCTGATCTCTCGCCGCAGGCTCACAAAATTACGGCCAAAGCTGTCCAGATTTGCGGTTTTATTGTTTACAATTTCTACCCTCATGAAATTAAATTAGGACTTTGTCGAATGTTTGCACTTCCCATTCGCGAGTGTTGCTGCACATTCTTTGGTGTGATGAACGAGGCTAGTTGTTCAAAAATTGAAAATGTTCAAAGACATTTTACTGCAAGACTAATAGGCACGGAACATCAAAATATCTCCTACTCAAATAAATGCCCGATGACTAACCTGAAATTTGTATGGGTTCGAAGACTAGAAGCAGGCTTCTGCCTCCTCTTCCTCATTAATAATAGTTCAAATCTTGCTGATAGAAGCGAACAGGCGAGTCCCAGGTAGCAGTTCAGAAGATGAAGATGCGATCACTGGGACAAGAAGTTTATTTGCCTGACGTTTCGGATTCTCACTCGAATCCATCATCAGAGACATTCGCAGATAGAGGTGA